GCGGCGGTCGTCTGAGACCGGCACAGCCAAACGGACATTGTGGGCGACCCGGGCACCGGCTTCCTGGCACACGCGCGCGACAGCCCTCTCAAGAGGCAGCGCACGTGACGCAAGCACCCCTGACGTGGCACATGCAGCCCTGTGGTCGCCGAGCGGATCAAGGTGGCCGCGGCAAGCACATGTGCGGGGCGCGACTGGGAGCGGAAGCCGCAGCCCGCGGAGCAGCAAGACGCGGAAGTGCGCAGAGGGCACGGTGACTTCGCCAGACGTGGGGAAGACTGTGAGGGTCCGGGCGGCATGCGGTCCTGCCTGCGACAGCAGCAGCGCTCGAGACGCGGAATCAAGGTCAGAAAGATGCGTCTCGAGCGCGCGCTGGTCGCTGGCGGCGGGGGCAAGCCGCTGCCATCCCTGCAAAAAGTCACCAAACTCTCGTTGGCCTTGTTGTGCCGGCGGGCGCTGCAAAGACCCCCAGGCAGGGGGCTCAAACCCTTGCACGCGGAGGCAAGCTGCCGCATGGTGCGCGGCAAGGATGGGCGCGGCGGCGTCTGCCAAAGCCCGCAGGGCGCCAACCAGGCGGTCGGCGACGCCGGGGGCTCGCGCGCGGATGGCTGGTAAACAGTCAGCCCAAGAGGCCCAATAGGCGGCCGGGGCGGTCTCAACAGCTGACCGCAGGCCCAGCCCGCCGTATCGCAGCGGCAAGCGCAAGGCGCGACAGGCGGACTCCGGCAACAGAGGCTGCGGGCCCTGGGACAACAGAGTGGCAAGGCAGTTGCGCACAGCCTCATCATGTTGGCGGGCAAAGGCTTCCGTTGCTCTGGGGGGGAGCATGCGCAGCAGGTAATTGGCCCGCCGGGCGGCGCAGAACAGCAAGAGGAGCCACGCGCATTGCAGGTCACTGACGGTGGGCAATTTGCCCAGCAGGCGGTCCTGCCAGACTGGGTCGGCGCCAGGCGTCTTGCCTGCATGGAGACGTATGCCCGCGTGGCGCCATAGCGCGTCTTGCAGGGCCCTATGCACTGCACCAGTGCGCTCTGGCCTGGAGACGACGTACGCGTCGTCGAGAAAGGCGAAAACCGCCTCTCCATCTCGCAGGCCGGCGGCAACGTCAGCATGCTGAGCAACACAATAAAGCGCCGGCATCAGGGGATCCCCCTGCTCCCCCCCCTCGCCCTGCACGATGTCGTGCTCGCGGCCATCGTCGTCTGGCCAGGTGTAGACGCTGGGGCAGCCGTAGAACTGCCGGGCGAAGGGCAGGAGTGGCTCAAGCGCAGGCCTGGAGCGCAGGCCTTCCAGCATTGCATGGCGCGAAACATGGTCGAAGGCACCAATGGCATCGACAGAGAGGACTGTGGTGCGTGGGTCCAGGGCTGTCGCAGTGTGGAGGAGCTTGTAGAGGCCCTCGGTGCCGGCCCGCGTGCTGAGCCCGAATTGGTGGGGGAGGCACGCGTCTTGGAAGGCATCAGCAAAGTGCTGCGCGAGTGCTCGGGCCACAAGCCGCCGGAAGACGTCGCCGACGACAAGGGCCCGGACCCGGCCATTGGGCTTGCGCAGCGCAACAACGCGTCCGAGCCTGATGACCGCAAGCACTGGCTCAACACAGACTCGGGCAAGGGGCAAGCCAGGTGACAGGGGCACTTGTATGTCGGGCAGTCGGCGCTCTGGGTCACGGAGCTCGGCGAGCGTTTCGGCGGTGCCAGGCACAAGCGGCTCAGCCGTGAGCGCACGGGCGGCCGCGGACAATTCCTCAAGTTGGACGAGCCGAGTTGCCGTTGCGGCTTTGGCCTGATCCCCAGCTGCGGGGAGGCCCCGACCCATTCCCCTTGTTGGAAGTGAACGCATCGCTGCTCGAGCTCTGCTGCATCTACAAAGGCTTGGCCAGCAGAACGGTACAGCAGCATGCGGCGGCTTGCGTGGCTGCTGGTGGCCCGGCGCCTGCAGTCGCCTCACCGGGGAGGGACGCGCCGACATCGGCCGGGGCCGAGCTGGCCGGTCCTGGCCCGCGGCCCCGTGCCCCGCGCCCACGGCCGACCGCGGCCACGTCCAGCGGCAGCTGATGTGGCTTGCTGGGCGCGGGCAGCTGCTTCGTGTTCGGGGCCAACGCGGGGCTCACCAGCCTGAGCAGCAGCTTGGGCGTTAGCGTCAGGGGCTGCGGGGTGGCGCCCGCGCCCCCGTGCTCTGCCGCGACTGCAGGTTGCGGCTGCTGCTGCTGCTGCTGCTGCTGCTTCTTCGGCCGCTGCTGCCGCTTGGGCAATGGCGACATCATGCGTGCTGCCAGCCGCGGTGGTTTCGCGGTTAGGTGGAGCACTCGTGCCATTGTTGAGACGCTCGTCCTCGTCCGCATCAGCGTCTGTTTGGACGCCCCGCCACCATGGGCTGCATTGCCGGCAGCGGGATGCCCATCAACGGCCCGAGGAGCGGCCTGCTGCTCTTCAGCTTCATCGCCAGCTTCTTGGCGGAAACCGTCAGAACGGCGATCGAGGCTGGCTGCCAGTTGTAGCTCCCCAATTCGAGGATAACCGACTGTGCGAGCGCGTGGATATAGCCGTCGCGCTCGCGCAGCTGGCGGACGGCCCATGCTACATGCACAGGCGCTGCGTCAGGCAACTGTGCTTGCTCCAGCCGCCTGAGCAGCTCCGGCAGCTGCTCCGCGCCGCAGGCGCAAGGTCCGCGGCAGCAGCGTGCAGCAGCGGCACATACTGGCCCCCCGCACAACCCCTGGTAGGCCTCGCGAGATCCACTGGGCGCTGAGGCCGCTCTGCTCCGGGTCGCGGGCAGCGGCCGTCTGGGCAGCGGCTCCATCTGCGACTGCCGCGTGGCTCATCACCAGCGATGCGGGCATGTCCTGCTCCGGTGCTGCTGACGCGGGCGCGGCCTCGGACGGCGCAGGCTCGCGCATCACAGCCTGAGCTGGGCCGCGGCTTGCCCGGACACTGCAACCAACTGTCGCCAGTGGTCCTGTCCAGTACCCACTCGGTACGGCCGCCACAGCGGGCACACTCCCCACCGGCCTCAGGTGCACGTCGAGGTCGGCAAGGTCCTCGGACTGCGCACACGCTGCACACATCCAACTCGGCCTCCAAGCTGCGACGCCTGCGCCGTGTCGGACCGCAACCGGTGCCCATTGCATGCTGCGGTCGGGCAGGGGTATGAACTCAACCTCTCCATCGGCCTGTCGTGCCGCAGCCACCCTCGGGCAGCACAACAGCACAACGCCGGGCAGGCGGTGAAAGTTCGCAGGGTGTAGTCGTGCACCGCTGCCCGCACAGTGGACTGCCCGGAGATGCGTGCTGGGACGCTGATCCCGTGGCGGGCGCATGCCTCGCGCAGTATGGCGTCATGCCGGCCAGTCCAGCCATCAGGGCTGCACTGAGGACACCTGCTGTGTGTGTAGAGGGGGCAAAGCAAATCCGATGGGCCGCCAAACAGGCCAGGTGCAAGCAGCGCGCATCGCATGTCGGGAAAGCCACCAGGGTACGCTCGGCTTCCCTGTCTGGGCCCAAGGCCTCGAGGCACACGAAACAAGTACTGTCCCGGCGTGGGGGCGCCAGGGGCGTAACATCGCCTCGCGGAGAGCTTGGCGCGGAACTCACCGCCACAGGGGAGCCGATGTGCGGTTGAGGGCCGTCGCTTGGCGGTACGGCGAGTCTGCACGCGAACGCCTGGACATGATGCCACTTTTGTCTGCTAAGTTGCGGCTTTGCTGCCCACAGGTCACGCTACTGCCAGTCACTGAAGGCCACGGCAGCCTAGGCAAGGCAAGAACCCTGCAAACGACTTAACTCACGTCTTGCTGAATTGAGGGACCGGCGATCCCAAGTCCACCCAGCAAAGCCGCGGCTGCCAAAAGGCGCCTACGGCCTAGCCTGGGTAACCCGCGCTCTGGAGAGCTAGCGCGCCTACAGGGTCCGAGGAGCCAACTGACAACCTGAGCGTCTGCCTCAGGGAGTGGTTCAACACACACTGCTGAGAGAGTTGGTCTTCTGCTGGACTGAGGCACCCACAATCCCTGGTCAACCCAGCCGGGCCGCGGCGGCCAAAGGGCGCCAGCGGCCTAGCCAGAGTACCTTGCGTTTTGCGAGGTGAATGGGGTTCCAGGCGGAGTTGGCCAGCCAGAGCGTCTGCCTCTGGCGGCGCGCCCTGGCACTGGCCCTGCAGCCCCAGGATCTGAGGCACGGGCTGTTGCGGAACCCTCAGAAAACGTCGGGAAATGCGGTGCGCTTCGGAGGCGCCCGTTGAAACTCTAGTTAGCTGGATCCCGCTGAGGTGCACACGTCTGGTTGGAGCAAGAAAATTATTTAAAAGAACGAGCTGTACGTAACCTAAGCAAGCCGCAGTGTAAAGGACAGACACCGATTAACGCTACGCCAGGCCTTGCTGTCCCTTGCAGGTTGCTGTGTGCGACGCTGAGGCCCAGGCTGGGTGTGACGAGATTCTTCGGGCCTCGCAGAGGGAAGGTCACAGAAACTATCCGAAACTTCCTCACACAAAATGATGTACCGAAAGCGTAAGACTGAACTGATAGGCGACTGCCGTACAAGGCGCGCCAGAAGAAGCACTGAAATGCTGGTGCTCAGACTAGGAATTCGCAAGCGACTGCCTCAGAGGGCGCGCCTGGACGTCGTGAACCAATTGATGCACCGGTAATGCGAGGGCGAGCTGACAGGCCTACCGTACAACTCGCCCAGAAGAATGCGCAGAAATCCGAGGCTCAGGCTGAGAAGTTGCAAGCGACTGCCTCAAGGGGCGCGCCTGGAAGTGATCACAACAAATGGTGTACCGGAAATGCAAAAAGTAAAATAAAACCCACAAGCGACTGCCGTGCAAGGCGCGCCAGGGATTGCAGCGAAATGCCAAGGCTCAAACTAGGAAGTTGCAAGCGACTGCCTCAAAGGGCGCGCCTGGACGTGACCACAAAAAACTGCGTACAGGCAACGAAAAAAAAAATGAACTGACCGGCGAGGTCTGCACAAATCGCGCCAGGGAATGCACAGAAACGCCGAGGCTCAGACGGGGAAGTCGCAAGCGACTGCCTCAACGGGCGCGCCTGGACGTCAACCCAACGTGCAGAAATTTCGGTGACACGAAAAACGAAGCGTGGATATCACGTGCCTACCCAGCGACTTTCGCCTCAGTTTGCCCTTGACCTTGGCGGCAAGCCAGCGGCTGGGCGCCACCACGGTGGAAGAGTCCGAGGGACCGGCTGGAGGAAGAAAGGCGAGCGCGAAACCTGTGGCTGCTGCGTGCGGTTCGCGCTACACACAAGGCCCGCTGCTGAGGCCTCGACAGTACCAGGGCTGCAAAACTGGCGGAAAGGAGACGGGCTCACTGCAGGGCCGGTGAAGGGGTGAGGTGCGCTTGCCGCAGAGCTGAAGGGTGAGGCCGCGGCAGCTGCATCAGGCTCGAAAGGCGAGCGCGCCGACTCAGCAGGGCCTGGTGAGCGGCGCGGGGCGGGCCGACGGTCCTGGACCTCAAGCCCTGCGCGGCAGGGTGTGGCGCGGCGCCTGCGCTTGGGCTTGCGGGTCTTGTCCTGCTCACGTGTGGGAGCTGCTCTGTCTCGGCGCCTGCGGGGCGCAGGCGGCGGCGGTGGCGGCACGCGCCGGGGTGTGCGACTGTGCGAGGAGCTGCGCACACTTCCGCTCCCACTTCCACTCCC